GGCCAACCCCCCACCCCGAAACAGTCAGCGCCATAACCCAACCCTACTCCACTCCCACACCTATCCAATTTGGCAGCCTCTCCCCCACAATGACAAGTCCCGAATCATAACCAATCCCATCTCCCCCACCATTACCCAACCGGCACCCCATGACCACTCGTGCACGAAGTGGTATCTTCAAACCTAAACTCTACTCCACCTCCTCTACCTCTTCCCCACCCACCACAGAGCCTGTTACCTATAAAGATGCCTCCCAAAACAGTTATTGGTGTCAAGCTATGGATGATGAGTATAAAGCCTTGATTGATCAGCAAACATGGGAGCTTGTTCCGGCACCTTCAGATCGGGTTCCTATTGGATGTAAGTGGATTTATAAAATTAAGCATAACTCTGATGGTTCTGTTTCAAGGTACAAGGCCCGACTTGTGTCCAAGGGCTACACACAGGAATATGGTTTGGACTACTCTAAGACTTTTAGCCCCGTGGTCAAACAGCAGACTATTTGGGTGGTTCTTTCTCTAGCGGTCAATCACAACTGGCTCCTTCATCAATTGGAAGTCTCCAATGCTTTCCTTCACGGTGTCATTCCTGATGAAATTTATATGAAGCAACCTCCAGGATATGTAGATCAACAGTATCCTCATTTTGTGTGCAAACTAAAGAAATCTCTTTATAAGCTGAAACAGGCACCACGGGCTTGGTACCAGCGTCTGTCAGGGTTCCTTGTTGATTATGGCTTTAGGAAAAATGAACATGACACCAGTCTCTTTGTTAAGCACTCTCCCTCTGGTATTCTCATTGTCCTTCTCTATGTTGATGATATTATTGTCACTGGCAGTGCCTCACCTCTTATCTCTTCATTCATCGAGGCTATGCAAAAGGAATTTCAAATGAAGAATCTTGGCCCTCTTCACTACTTTCTTGGCCTTGAAGTCACACGCACAAAAGAACATCTGCTTCTATCTCAGGAAAAATAAGCCCGTGAACTTCTCCATAAAGCAGGAGTCAAGGATTGCAAACCGGCCCCCACGCCCCTACCCGTACGGCAGCCCAAGGAGGGGGTGGGCCATCCGTTCGACAATCCCACCTTTTTCCGGAGTTTGGTTGGCTCTCTTCAATACTTGAAAAACACGCGTCCAGACATTCAGTTTTCTGTGAATTTTGTTTGTCAAAGGATGCATGCACCTACGGAGAAAGATTTTCAGTCCTTGACACGCATCCTGCGATATGTCAAAGGAACCATTGATCATGGTTTGGTCTTCCGGCGAGGCCCACAGACCATCTACGCATATTCTGATTCTGATTGGGCCAACGATATGACAGATGGACGGTCCGTTACAGGTTACTTGATATATCTTGGCTTTAATTTACTCTCTTGGTGTACGGAGAAACAAAGTCGTGTCTCACGCTCGTCCACCAAAGCCGAGTACAGAGCCCTCTCGGCCGCAGCAGCTGAGGTGATGTGGCTCACCTACTTGTTTGACATTTTACAGATCAAGCTCCCTCCTCCACATCTTCTATGCGACAACCAGTCCACTATTTGTTTGACTAAGAATCCAGTCTTCCATAAGCGCATGAAACATGTCGGAACGGATTGCCACTTTGTACGAGAACAAGTAATTGTAGAGAAAATGACGGTCTCTTATGTTCCTTCTAATGAGCAGCTGGATAACCTTCTCACAAAAGCTCTTGCCTCGCCACGCTACACTGCATTGGTTGCCAAGCTTCCTCTCGTTTCACGGCGTTCAGCTTGAGGGGGGATGTTAGACATATATGGAAAGAAGTCTAGTTATAGCAGAATTGTTATTTATGTTAGTTTACTTATTTGGTGAATCCTAGTCCATTTAGGGATCCTAACCTATATAAACATCCATGTACACAATTATTCCTTAAGAGTGAATTCATAAATCAACAGTTATATCTTATAGAATACTGTTTATTTACTGTTAGAAACGTGATTATTGGATATAAACCTTCTAAATTACGACCCTATGGTTCAAATATTCTGGGTCCGCCCCTACTAAAATCCAACACTTTCTTCCTCCAAACACATAAAAATTACTCCATCTTCACATCATCAACACCATCTATTTTTTTAGTTGGAGCTCAAGAACACATCTTCCATTTTTGCAAGATTTTATGATTGTAATAAATATTTATTTGTTTAAGCTTCAAACTATGAACTTCTAAATTCCATTAGGGTTAGAAGTTGGTGCAATTAAATTGTCCATCTTAATGTTTTGAATATTTTTATTATGGATTGTTAATTTTATTTTATTTTGATGTTGTATTTAAAAATAAATAAATTTGGAATGTTTGTGATTTTTAATTAAGGACTCAATCATAAACATAATTGTTACAAGGAATATGAGCTAAAATTGATATAATACATAAATAGAACACTTTTTAAATACACCGTAAGCCTTCTTTACCCTTAGCCGGGATTGAAGACTTCCGGGTGGACATAATTATTGACTCGTATTTTTACACCATTAAATTGGGTAAACATACAATAAATTAATTATGGTTGCCGTTGTATCATTAGCGTGTTAAAGTCCGAGTGGTTATTATTTAGGTGAACTACGAGAGCGTCCCTAAATACTTTTCTGCAACCCCACACATTCTATATAAAAATAAATTGACAATCCAACTTTTATAAAAACATTGGACAATTAATGTATCAATTTCTACCCCTAACTTTTCATAATATAAACTTTGTGTTGTTTGGAACTCTCTCTTTTTACACTTTTTATTTTATCCCTAAAACAAAAAAAGACCAAAAATATGTTACAACTTCTTTTGTAAACTTTTGTTTAAATTAAATTAACTCACGTCTCCCTGAAGTTCGACACCCTACTTACAAGGGTTCTTTTTAGTTGTTATTTGGGTTAAGGAGCAAAATAGGAGTAAAACATTCATAAAATCCCAAAATAGGAGTTGAAAGATGAAACCCCCAAAATAGGAGTTAATCATCCTTAGCCATTAACCATGGGCTGGAATGCACATATCCCTTCATCTAGATCACAAGCTTCATAAGGAATTTCAGAAACATCCTTATGAGTGGTAACCCCAACCATTCATCGCCCTCAACTTTGTTACTCCCTTCCAAATGCTAGGACACAACAATCTTTATAGTCAGCCTTGTTTTTTGTGCATTTCTTCGTGTTCGGTAGTAGTTAACAGCAGCAGATAGTAATTTGTATTAATTGATAATCAAAATTAATTCCAACTAACTTCAAAAAATTAATCGGGATGAATTATCTGACACAGAGATAGTAATTTGTATTTCAATATCAATTTGTAAATAAAGTATATATAAAAGAATTTTATTTTGTACTTGTTTAAAAAAAAGTAAAATCAATTATGAGAGGAAAGAATATGAGTAGGTATTGAAGGAATGGAACAAAAAAAAGAAAATGGAAAAGGAAAAAAAAACACTAGATAAAAAATGGAGATTCAATGTTTCGAACCCACAACATACGGGTTAAGGCACCTCGCGCACTATAACCCTTTCCACATTCCGTCCACACGCCCATCTTCTACAATACGCGTTTCATTAAATATTTACTAATAAGACATAACGACCTAAACATATATAAATATATATAAAAAATTACAAAATTTTCATGGGGTTGCGTGACCCCATGTGAACTCAAGTGGGTTCACCCTTGCCCTTGGGGTACAAATGGCTTTATCCTTTATCTTTATATTCTGTTTACGGAGATCTACCCTATGCTTTTGGACGTACATTTTTTAGAAGGCGGGTAAGATGCATGCAAAGCTTAATGGTAGCGTGGAGTTGTGAGTAATGAATGCTTACTAAAATGGCATTTTGATGCTCACTAATCACTACTCCACCCTACCATTAAGCTCTACATGCATTTTACCCGTATTCCCATACTTACCCAATAGGGCTATGCAAAATTATTGAGTTGATTATTACTTTTTTTTTACTCTTTTTCCCCTTCTAGAAAATGTACGTCCTACGTTTTGAATATGATGAGGTGTCCGTTTGAATTTTATACCTAGTGCTAAAATATAATGTTTTTCAAAATCAATTAAAAATATAATGATTGTAAAATATAGTGCCTCCTAAAAAAGGTGTCGGATCCGTTCCAAAAAACAATTGAACCTTTGGTAAAAAAATTCTAAACAGAATATAAAGATAAAATATAATGGTTGAAATAGGAACGTTAATTATATTATGATGTACCTCATTATATTATATTATTATTATTTGAATACAATTTATTTGATAAGAAATTTATTAAGAGTATATTTATCATTATATTTAAAATTCTTTAAAGAAAATGTTAGAGCCGGGGCACGAAACCCGACCTTATTTGACAATGTGGTATAAGATGTTGGAATGCATGAGTTCAACCCTTTCTATGTTGTTAAGTGTTGACTCACGGGTTTTGATCATTGAAAAAAACAATTTTTTCAAGTCAAGATCAAAGTGCTACAACGACACACACGAAGACTTGAAGTTCCATTCCTTAAAGTATTCAAGAAGGTGCACAGGATTTTATTGGAGTCCAAGACGTGTTCGGAGCGCTTAACGGAGGACTCGGAGGAGTAGAAGATTTCCAAAGACTTTTTATTTATTTAAGTCTCAGGAATTATTGTAAGGATGACAAAAATATCTTCTCTCCAAAATTATTTTTATGAGAGTTAAAATAAAAATTATATTTATTTTTGGAGTCAGTTGAAAAATCTTTTTAACTGTTCAAATAGTTCTATTGAGTCAGTTACAAAAGGTGTGCCAAACATTTATCAAATATTTATTATAAAATATTTTTGGTAAGAAAAAATATTTTATTCAAATATTTTTCGTGTACATCGTTTGACACACAAAATATTTTTGGGACTCAATTTCTACACAAAAATTCTTTATTTAATTCAAATTTTGAATTTGAACTAATTCTTTCAAACTTATTTGGTTTGTTTGTTTTTGGGAGCCTTATAATGTTAAAAACATGTCCTAAACAAAACATTAAGCTCCAACTGTACTCCCCACTCGCACACATGCTTTGGGTCCTCCTTGTTTGACCATTGTTCGTTAGGGGATCGATCATCCTTTTTGGATCGATCACTTGTGCAGAATCATCCGAGACTGGATCGATCCAAGTGCATGGATCGATCATCTTGTTTTTCCAAAATTGATCGTAGGATCGATCCCCCGAAGCTTTGACAGAAATTTATTTTCGGAAGTTTACTCCAGATGATCGATCCTCAGCCCTAGATCGATCCCCAACGTCTTTTATCTGTCAAAATCAGCCTTCCATACTTCCAACGGATTTATTTTTTTTTCCTCTATAAAAACACTCTTCCTTGGTCATTTTTTATAACAAGAAACACTCCAATACTCCCCATTCTTGAGGTGTTAATCCTCCATCAATCTTTCCTCAAATTTATATTATTTTGAGAGAAAACTAAGTGTTTTCAAGAGAGTGTTTTGTCATCCATTAGAGCCTTAATCATTTCTCATTTCTACTCTTTCGTGAGCTATTGTTGAGAGGTTGAAGAAGATTGTTCTTCTTGTTGTTCAAGACTTATGTGACTTAAGTCTTGGTTGCAAAGTCTTGTAGAGGGCATATCTACGAGCGGTTGTGACGAGGCTTGTGAGATTCAAGTTCTCGAGTTGTAAACGGTTTGTTAAGCACCCGTATGCTTAACGGAAGTAGTGGTAGCTTTGAGAGAGTCTCTCGGGGAACTGGACTAGCCACGAGGTGGTGAACCAGTATACATCGGTGTGTTCTTTGCCTTCTCTTTTTTATTTCCGCTGCACTTATGTTTATATTATTAATCCTGCGAAAATCGGTAAACATTCTCAACAACTCTATTAACCCCCCCCCCCCTCTAGAGTTGCACGCCTTGTCTAACATAAGAAGCGGGTGAAGATTAGAGCGGGGTCGTGCCCCTCCAAAGTGGTGTCACACCGAGTCATCCCGCCATGTCGGCCGTGGTCACGTCCCTATACCAGATAGTCTTATCTACCATAGAGTCCCCTGCTCAACATTTCTTTGGATCTGTCACTAAGAAACCTACTATCATTGTTTAATTTGAAGAGAGTCTAAGCTAAGCTAAGGTCGTTGGCATGCCAAATTATTTTCAATATGTCGTACTAAACTTCAATATTGTTCTGCTCAATTTCATCACCTCCTTCCAAAATGAGCTCATAAAAATGGAGTCACAGTCGGAAACCAAGCTGACGGGAAACCCATGATGTTTAACAACCACCTCAACGAAAGCTTGCGCAACCCGTAGTGCATCGAAACCGGAAGGCAAGGGCCTGAAGTGAGCATACTTGGATAGCCGACCTGTTACAACCATGATAGGGGTGAACCCATGTGGCGAGGGCAGCCCAACGATAAGGTCCATGGAAGCTGAGTCCCACACCCGATCTAGAATAGGCAGGGGCTGGAGAAGGCCCGCCGGCTTCTAAGTGGAATATTTAGTGGCTTGGCACACCATACAAGCTGCAGCGAACCTGCGCACGTCTGTCCGCATTCCATTCTAAAAGAAACTCTAGGCGAGGCGACGAAACGTGCGCTCTACCCCATGGTGCCTTGCGGCTCAAGTGCAATGGAATTCCCATAATAGTAGCTCTCGTAAAGGGGAAGATGAGCTGAGACATGCGGTGCTGAAAATAAAGTATTCCATCATGCACGGTGAAGGACTGGGGCACCGTACCGGAACGAACAGCCTGGTGGATTTGCTGCAATTCGGGCAAGGCTGTATTCTCACGACGAAGCTCCTGGAGTAGCAAAGGGTGTGGTTGTGCATAGGAGACAAAAAGATCATCGGTGTCCGGCCTTCCTCGCGTCAGGACAACGCGTCTGTGGCTTTGTTTGTTGGTCAGGACTTGTACACGATTCGAAACTTAAACCCCATAAGTTTGTGAATTTAGAACTGTGGGTCCATAGTTTGAATAACCTAGCAAAAGAGCTCCTTGAGACTGCGCTGATCACTCCAGTTGACGAACTCCCGGCCCAACAAATATTGGTGCCACTTTTGCAGGGACTCGACGATAGCGTAGAGCTCCTTATGATAGGTAGAGGCGACGCATCTTTGTGGCCCTAATTTCTTGCTAAAGAATGCTAAGGATGCCCCTGCTGCAAAAGCACAGCCCCTATTCCCGTATCGGATGCATCTGTTTCCAAATAGAGAGTCTGTGTGAAATCGGGAAGGCAGAGTACCAGAGCTGAAACCATAGCCCGCTTGACATTGTCAAATCTTGTAGCGGCATTTGCATTCTGATATGCACATATTTTATACACTTTTTAAGAATGTTTTGAATCTCAATTGAATTTAATGTTTACATTTTATTTCAATTTTCCATTTTATTTTGGTAGAGCGGTCCTATGCTTGGTTTTATATGTTTTGCAGGTATTTTGAGGGTATTTGGATGCATTGAGAATAAGTGCAAGAAAGGAAAATAAATATAGAAGTTCGGGACAAATTTAAATGGAAGAGAAGAAGAAATTAAATAAATATAAAGAAAAAGAAGAGGTTTGAACTCTAGACTTTGGGGCATAGAATAAAAGCTTTGACCATCGCGCCACAAGAGATCATATAGCTAATTACTGACTGAGAGAAATTATGTTCTTTTTCCAATTCGGCCCATCAATTGAGAGAGAAAAATGACAAAACAGCATACGTTGGGGAAGTTTCGAACACGAGTCTCACATCACGACAACCAGCTGCGTCTCCATGTGCGCTACTGTACCTGTTGACAATTGGTGCACTGTTTTTATATAATCCAAAAACACCTCCCTTCACTTCTTCTAAAGAGGATGGACTTCCTACTTCTCTCCTCTCTCCATTTCCGAAATTCTCTTCCTTTCTCACTAATATCCAGGGGCGGACCCA